ATAAAAATAGGTTATAGAATCTGTCGTGTTGTTTTTATTTTGAAATTTCTGCAAGCGCACTTATGTACATAAGCGTTTTGTCAAGTGGCTTGTAAACTGTATCATTAAAATGATGAGCAAACAGAAACCGCGTCTGCGATTGAGCTTGAAGGATCGAAATCTTGCATTTTATTCGGTATATTGTGATAATAATAAACAAAATACATAGATACCATTATGTTGTTTTATTGTTCAGATTCATATTAACAGATATTTGCTCGATATCTTCAGGAAATCTTATCACAAACTATAGAAAAATTGGCATATTATTATATTGGATTCCCTTACAGCATGATCATTTTAGATCATTGTTATTCTTGTATTTTGAAGTATACAATAACTATCTCATTGCTTTCAAATTTCATTCTTTACCATTTTCATGAAGAATGTAAAATTTGAAAAACTATTCATTGCAAATGCATTTGATCTTAACTGATCTTTAATTTAATTGTTTTCATAAAATCTTACATCGGCAATTTTCAATCTCAAGTGTTGCAATTATCTTATAGTTATTACAGATTCTACCGAGAACATTAAAGTGAACTTTACTCCTGTTAGTTACAAACTAAAGTATCCCAAAGCTGCAACTAATTTGCCACACAAACTTGTGAAGGAAACACCCACGAAATCACAGCTAGCTATAGGGCCCCTCTCTTATTATGATTTTAGATATTCAAATCATATTTTTCAAATTGATAACTTCCTGTGCTTTCATCGAAAATTTTAATAGGCCGTCTATGCGACTGAATAGAATAGCGTATTTGGGAAGATAAATTAATTTTATGGTGACAATTACTACACATTCTATTTAATAATTAGATGAATCGTATTTCGAACTACATTAATTTGTGGGTTATGATTTTGTTTTTGTAGTAGTTATCCAGGAGTATTTATTGCCTTGTTGTTATTACCATCATCAATGTTATTGTAAACTTGCACATTATAAATTTAGCATCTAGAAGGTCGTCGTTTTTCGTCACTTTAAAATTCGCACGCATGCAAGTGGAGTATACACGAGTTTTCCATAAATAAATTTACAGAAATCGGCAGAATTGGCTGGTTTACAACAGAACATCTATGGCCAAAGCTGGAAGCTTGTTGTCCGAATAATGACTTTGATATTGGTACGCTGTGAAGCAGAACTTTTGAGTTTTGCAAGAGCATTTCCAAAGACATAGCAAAAGTTTGTCAATTGGCCAACATCTTGATGCAAATGATTTTGAAATGTTTTGCCAATATGTTGTTTGGATTTTGAGTTTCGATTTACGGTTCGGATCGTTAGTACTTATTTTCCATGGTGCAGGATCGATTAGAAGGACTGCTGCTATTCATATGACATATGAGTGGCAGATTTGCTGGTATCTATATACGGTGAACTAATTAACGCATTCTGGAAAGGGCTTCGAGAATACAATCTATTGGCTTGGTGTACTTCATTTTTATTGTGTTTATAGAGATGTTAAGACGCTTGTCTAAAGACATTCTCGATTCCGTGGCGATTTCAACGGCGAATATTGGCGACAATGGCGTCAACCGTACAGTATCTGTCTTCATACTCTTCCTATGCATTTTCTAGACACCAAGTTACTCCTACAGGGATCCCCAGACCTTAGTCTTAAAGAGAACCCCACTATCATTAGCATTGTCCATGAATATATTAAACTAACGCATCGTTTTTAACCACACCTGCTTCGTTGCGTCTTTGGGCCTTTATTATATTCATTATAACCAGATCTATCCGAGTTAACAGTTGTTGAATGCTGTTCTGATCCATTGTTCGTTTTACTTAGGATCACCTGATTTAATTTTTTTTGCTATGGAGACATATCTGATGTATTGTTTGTTTTATTCAGGTTTATGACTTGATGTATTGTTCGTATAATTCAGGATAACCTGATCTACGGTTCGTTCTATTCAGGATTACTTAATCTACTGTTCGTTTTATCCGGGATTACCTGACCTGTTGTTCGCTCTACTGAGCTTACTTGGTGTATTGTTGGTTGTTCTGATGCTTACTTGGTCTATTGTTCGTTGCATTGAGGCTTACTTGATTTATAGTTAGACCGTTTGGGGCCTACTTGATCTACTGTTTATCTTATTTCCTATCTCCTGCCCTCTATTGTTCGTTCTATTGAGACTTATCTGATCTATTGAAACTTATCTGATCTATTGAGACTGAACTGCTCTATTGTTAGAGGCTTAACTGCTTTATTACTCGTTCTATTGATGTTATGTCGAGGCTTATTTGATGCATTGTTCGTTAAATTGAGGCCTATTTGATGCATTGTTCGTTAAATTTGATGAATTGTTCGTTAAATTGAGGCTTATTTGATGCATTGTTCGTTAAATTGAGGCTTAGTTGATGCATTGTTCGTTAAATTGGGGCTTAGTTGATGCATTGTTCGTTTCATTGAGTCTTACCTGGTCCACGGTCCGTCCAACTTACCTAGTCTCTATTGTTCATTCTATTGAGGCTTACCTGATCCAATGTTCGTCTTAAAGAGACTTACCTGTTCTCTTTCGCTCGTTGTATTAAGGCTTACTTGGTCTATTTGTTTGCCCATGGGGTAAACCGGGTCTACTGCTAGTTGTATCCATTGATCGCTCTATTGATACTTACCTGATCTTTTGTTCGTATTATTAAGACTCACGAGATCTATTGGTCGCACAATTGAGGCTCATTTAATCTATTGAGTGCTTACCAGATCTACTGTTAGCCCTTGAGGCTATCCGGATCTATTGATCGTTCCATTGAGTCCAACCTGATCTACGGTTGATTCTATTGAGGCTAACTTGATTCATTGTTCGTCCTATTGATGGTCTATTAAAATCCCGATTTGTCTGATCAATTACTCGTACTATTGAGTCATACCTGATATATATGGTTCGCTCTACTGGGGTAAACCTGATCTCTATATATGTATGGTTCGTTCGATTGAAGCTTACCTGATTTATTGCTCGTTCTATTGATACTTACTTAATTTGTGCTAGCTCTACTGAAGCTTACCTATGGTTCGTTCTATTGAGTCCTACCACTTACTCATGCCAAACTATTGATCTATCACTTACCTCCACCTGTTTATCTTTGTAAGACATTACAGTTCTCTATATTAGCCTCGATCGACCGGGGTCGCTGTGGGGCCATGCCGATTACCGAAACCTCGATGAGCAAAACCGCCAAACATATCTTATTTCAGCCAAACAATTAAATGTACTGAACCATATCTGCTGTCTTGCAACCTTGATACAGTTGAGAGAACCTCATTTAGTGTAAATAGTTTGTAAATTTTTCCCTAATTTGTATTGTATCGTATTGTAACTATTTTTGAATGGTAATGGATTTATATAAGCTTTAAAGCTTGTTTCCAAAACCATATGTTTATCTATATGTATATTGTAATATTTGTAATTCTTGACTAAATATTGTTTAAAAAAAAAAAAAAAAAGTATCTGTCGCTCCCTCCACGCGTGGGGTATGACGACCTTAACATGCTCTAAGCCAATTTTCTGTCGTTTCAGCATTTCAGTAACGACTTTCCGGTGTGACGGAGCTAGAACTGTCAAAAGCACTGAACGATATTCTGATACTATGCTCTTATTGAGAATTAATTCATCTTAGCTAACATAAGTTAAAACATCTTTTTCAATTTGTGCATTATTGCCCAACATATATTTAAGTGTTTTATTTATATCGGATTGTTCAAAAGGCGCATTTGTATAGTGCGCAGAAACAATTTCTGCCCCTCCAGCCAATTTGGAGCCACCACAACACTGGAATGTTTCAATTCTATACACAATGTTGCAATGTATCATACTTCGTTAGGTCTTGTTGCTTTAATTCTGTTCAATCAATTGTCATAACAGCACTTACAATATTAAAATATTAAGACAATGCCTTCAAGCAAAAAGAGAAACACATTTCCATGAATTTTTGAGTGGAACGTGCTGTTCATATCAGAACAAATTATTGAACAACAGTTTGCTGAACTAACATAATACATCTATATCTATAATACACAGCATTAACTCTAATTAAGTCTACAATCAGAATATTTTCCTCTTCCAAATCACATTCTATTGACTATCTTTTGATTACTGAAATTAAAAATGATCAGATGAGTAGTTTTAAATAGCTGTACAAATGTGATTCATACCCACAGGTGAACACATTTCATGTTAGAAGAAAACTAAAAAAGTACAGCGAGGTCAATAAAATTGCACTTTAGAAAGAAAATGTTAAAATCACACAAAAAATCTAAGCAACAGACTTTTCTATTTAATTATGTATACTTTAAAAATATCAAAGGCAGAATATCGAACAATAATTCAATTCTGTGTTTTATCTTTCTATTGTCGATATTCAATTTCGTTTAAATTTCTGTAAATTAACATCTTTCGCAGATTATAAAAATATTCATTATTTAAGTAGTGACAGTCTCTTAAATTATATACTTATGATGTAGTCTATCTGGGTTGAAGAGTATAAACCACTGACAATTACCAATAAAAGTGTTTGATGGTAACGTAACGTCTGGTTTTTCCAGATTTCTGGGTTTTAAAAGATAAATTCGAGCCAGGAATAAAAATCCTGGATAGTTTGATTTGAGAGTTAATGATTTAAGTCTTTCACGAGATCATTTTCTCTTTGATATAGCGACAGAAAACTTGATATAAACTTCAAATTGTTATGAAAAGTGATACATTCCATCTATTAATCAAAATATAAAGACACTATATCCTGTTTTTATTAAGATGATTACAGTCTAGAAAACATTATCAGATAACCTGAAATCTATTGTTCGTTTCATTTGAAAGACCCTTTGTGAACATTAGCGACAGGAAACAGACAACCTCAGTGATGAAAGAAATATGTTCGGATAGTAGTAGGTGTACTTTGTATTTTGATTAATTGGTTTTGTTAGAATCTAAAACCTCCATATTAAAACACAAGGATTTCAAGTATGTCGAGACACTCCATGCCTCTTCTGCTGATTGCCACCATGCTGCCCATGTTAACACATGGGTTTGTCGAATCTAAATATTTAAAAACTCGAGTATTTTACGAACCAAGTGGATGTGAGGAGAACATATTTTACAACTATCTGAAAACGACAACAAGCTCAACCCCATCGTCTTGTGGTTTACAATGTTCAACAACTACAGATTGTAGAAGGATCATGTTTGATAGAAAAACTAAAATATGTTTGATGTTTGAGTCTGGTGAAAATTGTTTCCATCATGAAAATATTGAAGATAAAGATTGTTATAGACTGGTAAGTATTGTGTAAATCACACTAGTTTAAAAAGCTGAGAACAGACTATTTTTATTATTCTTATCAATATTTGGCATATGCATTTTCTAGTTACTCCTTATGCACATAGGCGGTTTTCATTTTCAGGTATTCATGTTGATAAGACCTCAAAGGAGTTGGACTTTCGTGATATTCAAGTTATTGCCTTTTATCCAGTCGAGATTTTCAACACAATACATACTGTATAATCTGTTGACATGGTTGTGCATTTTAGTCTACATGGATAAGAGAGCATTTTCATAAAGTTATTTCTGTATTTTTGGAAAAATTATCACCGAGTATATGAATGAATTCGGGTTTTGTTCAGGTTCTTTATTATATTAATTTTTTTTGTAGAGGTACGTAGCCTCGGGACAAAACTACACACGCTGCCCAATTGGTTATTACGGTGATACTTGTCAAAATATTATAGAAGGTAAGTTACTTGCTAGCAAATACTTGGAAAGTGCCCGATTTTTTGGGAGTACAATATATTGAGGCTAGGCTGACTATTCAGGTTTTATTGAACCTAATCGAAATTTTGTATTATATTCAACTTTATTCTATACAGTATTTTCCCCAGTCGAAGGGCAAGACATATTTTTGCATGTCATTTTTGGTCCCCTTCAAGATTTTAGCGGTAATTAAGTCTGATGAATTTCTGTTACTGGATTTGTCAACAAAAAAACTTTACAAATTTATTACAAAAGAAATTCAACTCCACAAAATTTACATTTTCAAAATTAAAACAATAATAGGTACATGTATGTAGAAAGGGATACCAAAAACCCCCATTTGAAACTATCATCAGGTATTCCGGAAATGGAGCATGCCTCACTTATGAGGGAGACACTCTAAATCTCTTTAAATGAATCGACTTATACATAACAATTTAGATGGTTGAGATTATACCGATTTTTATACACCCTCAAGAATTGGAGGGCGTACATTGGCGTCACTCATGTCCGTCGGTCCTTCCGTCCGTCCACAATTGCTCATAACACTCTAGGAGTCACAATTCTTGATCTGAGAGTTTGTTATCACCCGAGGATGAACACTATTGTAAAATCAGAAGAATCAAAAACTATTAATTATAGTTATTGTCCTTGTTCTTGAAAACACGTTAAATTTTTAGCTCGTAAGCACTCTAGTAGGCAAACTCTTGACAGATTTTGACAAAATTTGGTATGAGTGTTTTTATTCAACCACGGATGAACCCTATTGAAAATCCGAAAATATTTAGTATGAATTATTGCCCTTGTTTTTGAAAACACACTTGAAGGCAAAATTCTTAACGTATTTTGGCGAAACTTGATGTGATTGTTTGTTATCACTTAAGACTGAACTCTTTCTATATCAGAAGAATTGGAAAACATTTTGTATGAGTTATTGCCCTTGTTTTTGAAAGAGCGTTCAATTTTGGGCTCGTAAACACTCTAAAAGGCACAATTCTTAGCAGATTTTGACTTGGTGTGAGCGTTTGTTATCACCGAAAAATGAACCCTATTGAAAATCAGAAAAATTGAAAAATTCTTAGTACTAGTTATTGTCCTTGCTCTTTAAAACGCGTTCAAGTTTTAGCCTGTAACACTCTAGAAGATTTTGACAAAGCTTGGTAATATTGTTCATTATCGCCTCATAAAGTTCAAATGAATTGTATGACTGAAAGTTGAATATTTTATATTGTTGTCTGTTACTTTACGCTTTACTGCCAATTATTTTAAAAAAAAATCAAAGCTGCCGCTGGGCGTATATTGGGGGAGAGATGTTCTCTGATGTTTCTGCAATGAAACTTGTGAAATTGATTGGATATAATTAAAAAGTGTTAAGAAACTTTGAGTATAAAAACTTAGCCTATCTGTTCAAGACAGATTTGGTTATAAAATGGAAGACTAGTTCCATTATCGTATACCAGTGGTCCGTCGGTGGAGCCAAAACATTCTGTACGGTGAGTGGTATGCCGTTGGTTTCCAGATACCCTAACAGTGGCTTACGAGCGGGTTTCAGTTCAGTGCATTGAATGAGGACATGCGACCTTGTGGCAACGTGGCCGCAGCGACATTTAATGGCATTGAACTGATGGTCTCGTAGTACGTTGTTGGTCCGGAGTCTGGTTGCCACTTTGCAGATGGCTACAGATGGATGGATTGGTTTGGTTTGGTATCTTCGGATCAATCTGGTATCTTGCGGTGTCGAGGTTCCGTAACACGTCGGCCCATTCGGCCATATTCTACAGGCTCGATATCCTCCAGACTCAGACTTTCCTTGGCACATGAAAGTGATACATGAAAGGTGGCTATTGTAGTCAAGGTATAAGACGCATTTCGCAATAGCCAATGAAAAGATGCCGTTTATGGGACCACTCAACATCGTAGCAGTAAACACTACATCTCTCTTGGATTTCGCTTAAGAGCTCCGGGCAAATTATATGTGCTGTTATATATCATAGAGGAAATTAAAGAGAGGATAATTATTCTGACATAAACGTACAAAAAAGTTACTCTTTTTCAAGAAGTAATGCTCTATAGAATCTACTTTCAACAAATCTCTCAGTTTCCTTAATGCTGAATTTGTTGCAGATTGCATGAGGAACTTTCACAATTGATTGTTTGATTAAATTGAGTTTATTGTTTACGCGATTTGAAGATTCAGAACATTATTTGATCTATTGCCCACTACATTTAGATGCACGAAACCGCTCTATTTCTCTCCTTCCGTCGTCTTTCTAAAACTTCTATTTTACTTTTTGGCACTGATTGTCCTGATTTATCTACTGATATTTTCCGTACAGTCCAAACCTTCTTGGAACTTTCAAAAAGATTCTTTCTCAATATATCACCTTTTTGAAAAGAAAATTTATTATCATTACAAGCATAAATCCCGTGTAGCAAGTTGTACATAATGTAAATATGTTTGTATTATAAGTTTCCATCTCTTTCAAATTTTACATATAATTTATAGTTACATATAAACGATTGTTGGAGAGGGGTAATATAGGCCCAGCCTGTTCCCCAATCCTTTTCATAATGTATATATCTTGAATATATTTATGGATAAAATACTGTTTACCAAAAAAAACAAAAACATGTCTTATTCTTGTAAGTAAAGAGTTATTGTGTCTCTCACCAGCCCAAAAGTAACTAGGTACAACCGTAGAATTTAATGATCGTTGTTTTAGCGTATATTTGAAAGAATTAAGACTGGTAGAAGCGCGTGTAACAGCATCTAATGAATTCCAATATTGTACAGAATTGGAAAAAAATCCCGACAACAATTGTAGGTCTATGGCACTGGTGTATATCCAAAGCAACACATTGGGAGTGGATTATGCATAATTAATCATATTGATAAAAATCCCCAACGAGTATAAAATATTTAAATAGAGCTCATATTTAATATTATATTGTATGTTTGAATATCTGGGAATAGCACAGTAAAGAAATATTAATTTGCATGACATTCCAGATCTCTTTAAACTATTTCTTAAAATGTTGATTGCAGATTGTAGTGATGGTTTCAATCGATTCAGACCAGTTCAATTAATATCCTATATCAAACCAGCGGCGTCAGATAAAGTATTGGTAGCTAACTGTCATTTTAATTGGGATGGAATGACTTATGTGCAATATCGATTTAGTAAATGCCTGGAAGAAGACTTCAACAGAACCTGGACTGAGTATGTCAACGGATTTGGACACAACCATGGTGAGCATTGGCTTGGATTACAAAACATGTACAACATACTCCAGAATTACGACTCATACAAACTACAGATTTATTTATCTATAAATGGTCAGGGTTGGCAACACTACTACTATTCATTCCACCTACAAAACGAGACAAGTGCATTTAGGTTTTCTAAATCTAGAATCAAAGGTCATTCCGAGTTTCCAGCAGGCGATTCTCTTACCAACGGAAGCTATAGTTTAGAAGGTCGACCGTTTTCAACTTATGATCGTGACCAATCTAACAACGATTGTCCAGATAGGTTTAAAGGCGGATGGTGGTATTTAGATGATCCAGTATGTTCAAGAGGGAATTTGAATGGTAGGCGCAACGCTACGAATTTTGAGAGCCGCATTCATTGGCTCGATAACCTTGGAACATTAACTGATTTTTCTGAAGTTCAGATTCGACTGACCAGGGAATAAATGGAGGTATAAAGAACACTTGTATTTTGGTACCTGTATAATTAATTTTAAAAACCAAGAATATCGTTAAAGAGGTAAAATACAAATTCTCATTGTATAAAACTTTGTACATGTTCTGAATGTAACGTTAATCTTAAATATTTAAATAGAACCGTCTCTATTCATACGACTCAAAACTTATTTCGTCGAGTTATTCTATCAGCCCTTATCATTAGTTCCGGGGAATGAGGAAATTTACCAAATACTATACTTGCTTATACAAATTGTAAAGAGGTTTTCTTAATAATTTATGTGTATTGGGGGAAACTGATAGCATCAATCTCGACCATTCCAATTTCTAATCAGACCTCTGTGGTTCCTGCAATGCCACTGAAACTAATATGATAGGTAATGATCGAGTCTTATCTTATCTTCTCATTCATAATTTAGCTACAATTGGCAATACATTTTCGGAACATTACTAAATGTAAGAATCACATAATACAAAGATTGACTGATCTTATCGGACCTAATAAAAGTTAAATAAAGTTACAACAGAATCCCTGGAAAATTGGGAAATTCACAAATCAAAGAATTATTGAAAAACGCTTAATCTTTTTTTTTTTTTTTATTTTTTATTTTTTTCATACATACAATATATTTACATTTATACACTATTATGTTTCCTAAAGTATACGTCAATTCAAGATTTAAAGGGCTATATAACCGATACATTTACAAATTAATTACAGCCGTCAATAAATACAGATAAACATACCTCACAATGTTGAACAAAATAAGAATATTTTTAGAGTTTCTAGATGTAAATATATTTCCATTTGTTTATCAAATTTTTATTTTGTTTTGTTTCAATTATAGCCTGTGTTTTAATAAAAGAAATGAATTGGCAGTGATGGTTTTGAATTTGAGCATTTGTATTTGAATATGAAATACTTTCCCAGAATTATAATATGATTTATTAAGTGATATTGATTATTGTCTCCGAAATCATTTTGGTCTATGCCTAAATGAATTGCTTTATTGGTAAGTTGGATGTTGATATTATTTATTGCTATTATATTGCGAATATGATTCCAGATTTCATGAACAAATGTACAGTAGATAAAGAGGTGTTCGACTGATTTAAGATCTGAGCTACAAAAAGTACATAAAGTTGTATCCGTTAGTTTGAATTTAAAAAGTTTGATATTAGTATAAATAATTTTATGGACATATTTATATTGAAAATTGTTTATTTTGGCATCTATACAGATGCAATGTAATCGTTTGAACACTTCTTGTATATCGCTCTCTGTTAAATCTATATTTAACTCTGTTTGCCATTTTGTGAAAGATTTGGGTGTAAAAAATTTGTTTGCGTATAATCTTTTATTATAGATTTGTCTTGCTTTGTAGGTTATGAATTCTAAGTTGTATATTTTCTTAAATATGTTTTGTAATGTAGAAAAAAACGTTTGTTTGTATAGATCGTAGTCCGTCAAATTTTCACTGTCTATTTGGATTAGGTCATTGCTCATTTCATCAGTGTTACCATTATTTTCAGTGGATTTCATTAGTTTTAGACTTTTTGTTCTGTAACCGTGATATATTAATTTTTCTATTTCTGATAGAGTTTTGATATTATTATATGGTTTGATAAAATTAGATATGAATAAAAGATTTTTCTGTATGAGCCTTTTCATGGTGGTTATGTTGACTTCTTTGTCTATATGTTTATTTAGAAATATTATTTGGTGTTCGATTTCAGTTGTTTCATCTATATGCCTGTTAAATAGTTCGTACCAATTATTAAATATTTGTTTGTAAAATGGGGAATGAATTCTGCGTGTTGTTTTATCGCTATTGCAGACTGTTAACAAAAGCGGATCAGATGGATGCAAACTAAAATTTAAAGTGATTAGCCAGGGTTGGACTGTGTCGTGAAATATCTTTTTAAAAAAATTGCCTTACTTGTGTGAAATTCCTTTATGTTAATAAACTTTATTCCCCCCTTTTCACATGGTTGATACATAACGTCACGCTTTATCTTATCTTGGCCATTCCACAGAAAGTTACAGAAAATTGAAGACAGTTTTGTAATAATATATTCCTCCGGAACAAATATTGATTGCAACAGTAGAGATAGTTTTGATAGGCAGAAGGTTTTGATTATGATATTTTTACCACTTAAAGTCAGTTTGCGTGTATTCCACTGTTTTAAGACCTTTTCAATTTCGCAAATTTTACATTCAAAATTTAGCTCAGTTTTTATGTTAGAGTTCAAAGAAAAGAATATACCTAATATTTTGATCGAAGAAGTACAAAACTTCAACCCAATGCTATTTATTTTGTTTTCTAAATTGTTTATGCCACTGTTCAAATCAAAAGCTTCTGTTTTCGCTAAGTTGATAGATAAACCAGAGATAAGATTAAATTGATTCAGAACCTCAATTAAGTGTCGAGCAGTCTTAAAATCTTTTAATAGACATGTAAGGTCGTCAGCAAATGCTATTATTTTCAGGGTTTTGTCACCAAAAGATATACCACTATAATTCCTATCATATCTGATAAATATGCATACTATTTCTATAGCTAAATTAAAGAGTATTGGAGAGATCGGGTCACCTTGTCTTACTCCTCTTTCAATAGGAAAATATTTTGTCGTGTAACCATTGTTCATTACAGAACATTCGATTTCATTGTATAGAGTACTAATCCAACGTAAAAACATCTTTTTGAAGCCAAATTGTCTAGGTACTTCTAAAAGATAGCATGGGTATAAAAAATCGTATGCCTTGGAAAAATCGATCGCTAAGATCATCCCGTTAATACGTCTTTGCTGTGCTAAAGTACAACAGTCATCAATAATTCTAATATTCTCATTAATATGTTTACCTGGTATGAATCCTGTTTGGTTGGAATGGATCAATTTTTTTAAGAAGTATTTCACTCGATTATATAAAATTTTACTAGCAATTTTGGTATCTACGTTGATTAAAGATATTGGGCGCCAATTACCTAAATCTAATTTGTTTAATCTTACTATTAAGCATTTTTCAACATTTAATTGCATATTTATGGATAATTACGAAGATGTTTGGATTTATCTGATAATATAAGGATCCTATTATGTTATTTATGACACCAAGTATATCTACTTCTACTGATAAATATATACTCTTATTGGCCAAGTTTAAAATTCTTAAATGCTCATTGTAAGACGTAGTATTTCTTTGATCGGACTGAAACAAACTGGCACCAAGAGGCACAATCATTTAATGAGTCATAAACATAAGAACAGCAATTATAGTGTTATTGTCCTTGTTTCAAACCATAATGAGATTCTACCTATTGAAATCACCAGAAATGGCATAAAGGGCAGTCATTAAATACCTGCTACTGAAATGTCTAACTTACACCCAAATACATGTTGAATGTCTAACTCACACCCAAATACATGTTGACGTGCTCTCCACTCTAGGGGATGATGCCCCTTCACTTTTTCACTGACAAGAAGTAAACTACGGTGTTAAAACATGGCACAGAGCCTTCATGATGACCCACGTCCAGGAAGGTCTACAAAGGCAACCATTCCAGATAACATTACCCGAGTGCATAACATGGTGGTGGCTTGTCGACCATTAAACTCTCAACATATTGTCAATGTTGTGGGCATCTCTTATGAGAGGATTGAGCATATCACCAACAAGTTTGGAATGACAAAAGTATCTGCAAGATGAGTTTCAAATTTCTTGACAGCAGATCAGAAACGTACCTGATGTACCGTGACAGTTCATGCTGATTTGAAGCAAGTCCTCATATTTTTTATTGGCCCGATATGTAACCCAGAGTAAGACCGGGATTCATCACTTTAAACCAGAAAACAAAATTCAGTCTAAACAATGGAAACATCCTGAATATCCCGCCCCACGTCCTTCAAAAATAAAAAGGCAAAGTCGATATATTCTGCTGGAAATGTGATCACTTCAATCTTTTGGGATTCCAAGGATAGTTTATTGATTATCTTTAAAACAACATCAGACTATCATTGGAAGATATTATGCTAACCTTCTTAAACGGTTGGGTGAAGTATGGTGGCCCATCGTTCTCATGAGGAAATAGATTTCAAAAATTTTTCTTTTTTATTAAATTGATTTTTTATTTTACTTATTTTATGCCTATTGTTTAAATCATTTTTTTCCGAATTTTATTTAAATATTTTTCTGAAAAAAACCCAATGCCCCTTCGTTCTCATAGTAAAATATCAAGTCACTGTGATTTAAAGACGTTTGGATAACAGTATTTCGCCTTAAAGCATATTGGCAAATGTCAAAGAAACAGCCTTCTCATTGCCCTGATTAAATGTGAAGCTTATAATGGTGCCATGCATGTCCGACATTGTCCATCCGGCCGTAGGTCCGTCCACAATTGCTTTTAAATTAACTTTGTTTGTGTACTTCTCCGGTTGTTACATGTAAATTATAGATTATTATCATTATAGCAAAATTCACAAAATCACAATAATGAGAAATGAGAATAACAAAGTTGATCACTACTTTTATTTTCTACCGTCTCTTCCGGTCGGAAATATGTGTAGTTAACGCTGATTAGTTCAATTGGTCCAATCAAAATTGAGTTCTCATAATCATACATATTTAAATTAACATGTATGAATTATTGCCCTTGTTCTTGTAAACGCATTCAATTTTTACCTCGTAAATACTCCAAAATGCACAATTCTTAACGGATTTTGACAAAACTTGGTGTAAATGTTTATTATCACCCCTTTTAAACTCAGAATATGATAACACAATTGCGTAACTCATTTTAACTTGGGCAATAGACGACAAATGTTATGAAACCAAATATTTCTTAGGTTGATATTACTGGGTTTAATCGATTAATAAGTTCCTACGAGCACATTCAAGAACGGGTAATTGTTTGCGATGACTGGCCTAATTTCTTGCGGAGATCAGAATATCATATACCTAATTTCTTGTAAAAATGCGATGTACAATATG